TGGTGAATGAAGTTGTGATGTGTAAATAACTTGTATAGTGAATGTATCTTTTGCATTTACAATTTCAATTCAATGACCTTTGAAAATGTCCCTTTGTTGTGAACCTGACAAAGCTACAACCTTAAAAACCCTTAGTGATATTTTTGCTTCCATGATTTCATTTTTGATTTATTAGATGAATGTATAAATTGGATTGTTATTCACATTGTTTGTCAGGTGAGTGAAACTGCCTCGCGGTTGCAAGCATGTTAATTTCTTCATTCTTATTTTGAAGAGGAGTGTTAGAGTGATGGAAGTATGAGAATTTAGTATTATTTGAAACATTTCATGATATTTTTTTAAGAACTAAATTCTTTGTCATTGTTCGATTCTATTGAGTGGTGAACATTGCTTGTGCGCATTCTCATGCTTGAGCAAATCCTCTTATTTGAGAAAATCTCTCTTATTTGAATTTGAATCGTTAATCATTTCTTTGTCGAATTTTATGCTTGAGAAAATCATCTTGTTTGAGCAAATTTATCTTGTTTTCATGAGGGACATACTTTGCTTGAGGACAAGGAAAAATCGAGTTGGGAAGAGTTTGTTAAGTGCAATTTTTGACTTAAATTGAACCGTTTTTTTTTTTGGCACTTTTCAACTCAATTCTCATGTTTTTAATAGATTTATTTCTTTTTCTTGTATGATTCTTTAGTTATATTGTAAATACCTTTGGATTCTTTGATGAGTGTGTTATTGTGCAGGATTTAAGCATAAAACATCAATGATTAAGATACAAAGGAGTGGACAAGGAAGCGAAAGAAATAAAGAGGAATCAGCATGTTCCCTGGGCGAACAACAGCAAGCAGCCAACAAATATTTGTTGGGTGAAGTCCTAGCGAAACTCCAGCGAACCATCTCAAATTAGAAGCAGTAGGAAAAGGACCCAAAGTTTGTTGGGCGAAGTTGAAGCGAAAAGGTTCGTTGTGCGAAGAAGTGTTCGCACAGTGAACTCAAATATTTTCCAAGGGCGTTTTAACTGTTCCTAAGGCACTTGAAGTGCCTAAAAGTAGTCTTCGTTGGGAGAATAGGGTGTTCGCTAGGCGAACAAGACAAATTTTTGTTTTAATATATATGTACTTTTCTTGGTTTTTAGAAAGAACCTTTTTTTTGTAACTTGTACTTTTTGTGATCAGAACTTTATTTCTCTTCATTCCAAACATAATTTTAGAGAGAGAAACAAAACCCTCAGGAGGAGAAGCCAAAATCAAAGAAATTCAAAGCTTAATCTTTGAGTAAGTTCTTTGATTTCTTGTTGGGTTTGAATGTAATCTTTTGATACCTTATGTATTTCAACTAATTTATGTATTCTGAACTAGTTTTTATTCAATATTGACGTTGTCTTTGACTTCTTATTTGTGGATCTTGACAAAACCTTTTCAAGTCTTTGATTTAAGATACTCATCTATCAATGAGCAAACGTTTAACATAGTCTTGTAAGTTGGTATTCACTAGTATCACTTTTATTTTATTATGTTGATTAGTTGCATGAGTAGCATGATTAAGATTAATACGGTAAATACCATGATAACGTTTTTGACGCGGATGATATTGTGAAGATGCGTGATAATAGTGATGAAGAACTATGTTCACATACATTTGGCAAATTAGTTGAATGCATGTAAAAATGGTTAAGTGTATGTACGTATTCTGATCACGGTGTTTTATGTGAATCAATCACGAGTCTGATATGGGTGTCATCTTTGAATACATGTTAGGTTCTAGACTCTAGACATAGATTCAAGCTTAGCATTTGCATGAGTATCAGTTCGTAATGCTTTGTGTTGTTAAGTTGCGTGAGACATCACCAATAAGGCAATATGGTTGTTCTCTCGACTTTGCGTTAGACATAACCTCGATTGTGGGTGATATGTGAGGATATCAGACGATTGATTGATTTGTGTTTAACTGATTAGAAGAATGCATGTGTTATAAATTGATGAGATCTAATCCCAAAAAGGCTCCTTTTATATTTTAAGTCTTTACTTTATATTTTTCCGCCTTTATATTTTCTTCTTTAATTTATGGTACCTTCAATCTATCAACAAATTTTCACAATAAGCTTAAAAATGTAGAGACCGTTGAACGACATTCTTTCCCTTGCACTGATCTCTGTGGAGACGATATAAATCATGAAGAGAATCCTTCCAAATCTAAATTTTTGCTTCTTGCCGCTTTGCTGCAGTTCGAGCATGAGTTTTGTTCGACCTTTTCCCTTTTCCCTATGAAAATAATAAAGTTCGGCGGCGACTCTTACTTTTTCGATTTGAGTTAATCAATAGCTTAATCTCAATGTTTTTTCCCGCCGCGACACTTTGCAAATATCAATCTTGATGTTAACACTTCTCCACATATTTCGATTTGACTCACCGTCTTGTTACCCTAGTGAAGAAATCAATCACACTTTCACTTTCTTCCATCTGAAATAACTTATACGTTCTTTTATGAGTTTGTAACCTCATATTTTTCACCTTCTCAACACCTCCAAAAGATTTCTCCAGGATGTCCCATGCTTTCTTCGGTGAGTCTACATCACCAACTTTATCAAAGTTGTTTGGATCAACGCATTGATGAATTATAAAGAGAGCCTTATAATCTTTCTTCTTTAAATATTTATGTGGAACCTTTTTTTCATCTGTGACATTCTCGCCAAATGATGTTACTCCATTCTGCACAAGATCCAAACATCTTGATAGTATAAGATAACTTTCATCTACTTACACCAATTATCATAATTATTTCCATTCAGGATAAAAATATTTGTTGAAATATACTCGTTTGGATGAAAAGTCATCGCTCTATGCTTCCCAAGAATCGCAACCAGCGCTCTAGATACTAGATGTTGGAACTGATCTTGATAGAACAAGATTCAATCACTTTTTAATTGATTCAAGATTCTTGTTTTTTACTTTTCACTCGAGTGATTCAATCACACATTGGTTACAAGACGATTCCACTGCATAACGATTTGAAAAAAGAGAGGAAATATTTAAAGAGAAAAGAGGAAGAGATAAGAGAAAATTAGGGTTTTAGGAGAAGAGATGAAGAATGTGTTTTATTGATTCTATTGAATACAAAGTTTCTCTCTTTCTGAGTTCACATTTGTGAATTCTCTCTAACTCATCTCACATTATAAACGCACGATATCTTCCTATTTATAATGAGATTGTTTGCACATAACGCAACTTCAAACTAACTAACTAACTTGAACAAGTTGTTATTCAACTCTGTCGAATAAATGCTGCTTCGACTACGACTAGTCTCATTCGACTTTCTGTCAAATACATGCAGATTCAACTATTACAAATTATGTTCAACTATTATTCTATCAAATATATTCGAATTCGACTCTATTAAATACTTCATCTTACGAACATGCTTAACACAAAAAATTACATATTTAACAAGAGGTTCTTTCATCTATAGTTAAATCTTTACAATATTTTAAATAACATTATATACATAAGTAATAAATATTACTGAATACAATTATTATTTTATATAGCTATCATCAAAATTAAAAATATGGATCATTGTTCTTGAAATCAACTTGCTATAATACTATTTTTTTTCTCTTTCATCTAAGATTTACCTTTATCTTCCTTATTTCTAGATACATTTTTCTTTTTATTTTCTTGGGTTCATGTTAAATGTTTGAAATATTATATTTTATCTTGAGAACGGTAATAAAGAAAATCAAAGACAATGAAGAAAATGGTGTTGTTATTTTTTAAAAAAATTTAATGAAGCGTGGAAAATTGAATCGAAACAAAAATGGACAAGATATTTCAGAGACAAAGGTGGACGAAATTGGATAAATAAAAAGGCAATTGATATTTTGATCATCAACGCTTTCATTTCTTTTATACTTAGTAAAATTTTCACTTTATCAGTAACTAAAATTTTCAAATGTAAATCACATTAAGTTCATGTATTAATATTTGCTTATAAAATATTACAAACTCAAAACTAACATAGACCTAATAATTAAGTAAATCCAAAATAACCCAAGTTCCAAGCACAATAAATTTTGTCACACTTACACTGTTACACAAAATCATTCACCATATCATAGTAGGGGCCCCCTTAATAACAAATTTTGACCAGTCATTTTCATGACAAAATTTCCCAACTAAAAAACAAAAAAACATAATCAACAAAATAAATAAACACCAGTGGCAACATCGTAAATAACACAAACATGAAGTGCTATATCACTAAGGTTCTCATATTCTCATCTTCTTCCTTTATTAACCTGAAAACTAAGCTTTTAATTTTGTCTTTTTTTTTCTCTCTCATTTTTTTATTTTATTATTTTCTTCTTCCTTGTGTCTTGTTTTGACCGTTGCTTTTTTTGTTAACGTTTTCTCTGTTCATTCTCTCATGCTTTTTTTCTTTCTCTCTCTGATTCCTTCTACACTCTGTCATTCATCAAAAGCACTCTTTTGTTCCTGTGCCTCAAACACCATTCTTAGGTATGTTTCTTCTTCCTTAACATGTTCTTCATCTATGTGAAATAATCTTACATTTCTTCTTCTAATTTTTTCATAATTTATACTTTTTATTATTTTTTTTTTCATTTTAAAAAATGGTTTTTTTTTCTTGGATATTAAGCTTGTTTTTTTTTTTTTTATAGATAAATTCATATATGAAAAGTTGCATGTTTTTTTTAATGTAATCTAGTTCTTAAATTTCTTATAGTTTAATTTTCCAGAAATCATAGAGAAAAAAGGTTTTTGACAAATCTACATTACTAGCTTCTGTGTAGAGAAAGAAAAGAATCTTACTTTATTTGCATTGTTTGGTTTATTTAGTTCAACTATGATGCTAAATGTTAAATTTTTGTTTTGTTTTTGGTGTTAGATTTGGGGTTTCTTTATGAATCTAGTGAAATATGAAGAAGGGTTGTTCTTTGGTTTTGATGAAAAGTTAGGATTTTGTTATTCATAGGGAGAGAGTGAGAGATGGGATGTTCACAATCAAAGCTGGATGATGAAGAGTCAGTTCAGCTTTGTAAAGATAGGAAGAAGTTCATCAAACAAGCTGTTGAACAAAGAACTCGTTTCGCGACGGGTCATATCGCTTATGTTGAATCTATGAAAAGGGTTTCGGCTGCTCTTCGTGATTATATTGAAGGTGACGAGCCTCGTGAGTTTTTGTTAGATTCGGTTGTTACGCCGCCTTTTACACCGGTGAAGAAGAAAACTAACCCTAGGATTGCCAATGGTAATGGTAATGGCAATGGCAATGGCAATGGATTTGTTCCTATATCGGCAAAATCTTTCGTGCCATCGCCAATTGAATTTGGAGTTGGACCGAATTCTTTTACACCATCGCCGATTGAATTTGGAGTTGGACCGAATTCTACTTTGAGAATGAATTATCTTAGGCCGGGTGGTAATCCGGCAGTTTTAGTTGAGGAAAGGCCTCCGTCACCTGAAATCGTCCGAATGGAAACGTATGCTCCAATGCCGCAGTATGGAATTGATGGTTATTTTGCAATGCAATCGTCACCGCCGACGAATCCGTCGATTTTTCCTTATTCTCCTCCGAATGTTAGGTCTAATATACCTCCACCTTCGCCGCAAAATGCTCAATGGGATTTCTTTTGGAACCCGTTTTCCTCGTTGGATTACTATGGTTATTCGAGCCGAAGTAGCCACGATCAAAACGGTATGGATGATGAATACAGAGGACTAAGGCAGGTTCGAGAAGAAGAGGGGATACCGGACCTTGAAGAAGATGAAACTGAACATGAAGATTATGTTGTGAAGAGAAATGTAGTAGAAGAGAGAACTAGAAATGATATAAACCCCACCAAAGAAGAAGTTTTAGTTGAAGATCTAGACGATGATGATGAGGATGATGACGATGACGGAGAGGAGGAAGAGGAGGAGGAAGAAGTGGGAACAGATGACGAAACTGAAATCGAAACCGAAACTGAGCACGATGCCAACGCTTCACAACAAACGCACGGAAATGCAAGCTTTGAAGTCTCGAAAAATCAAGCTGCGGGTCATATTGAATCCAGCCGTAGAGAAATGGAAATCGGTAAACAAGAACCTAAGGAAGAAATGGCAGGTTTTACTGTTTATGTAAACCGAAGACCGACAAGCATGGCAGAAGTGATCAATGATCTTGAAGCTCAATTCAAAACTGTGTGCAATGCAGCCAATGATGTCTCAGTTTTGTTAGAAGCGAAGAAAGCTCAGTATTTGCTAACATCTAATGAACATTCAGGTTTGACGGAATCATTCAATTTATCATATTTTCACTTTGCCGCAAGTTTATTTTCATGTTTAATTGATAACAAACTCCAATCTAAAAACTCTTAATTATAAAATTTGATTGTCATGTATTTTATGAAAGGTTTTACTTGAGTATGGTGCTTTAGACCACTCGGCGACTCTAGCGATTGAGTTTCTTGTTCTTAATATTTCTAGAATATGAATTTGAAATCTCAAACATGTTTCATTTGCAGCATCGAAGTTATTGAATCCGGTCGCGTTGTTCCGGTCAGCTTCTTCGCGCTCTTCTTCATCAAGATTTTTAGTGAATTCTTCAACCACTAGGGAGGAAAGATGCGAGGGAAGTAAGGATATCTCGAAGGAACATTGTAGGCTTTCTGGTAGTCACCAATCTACATTGGACAAGTTAAATGAATGGGAGAAGAAGCTTTACGAGGAAGTCAAGGTATCGTAGGCTTTCGGATTAGATGCTTATGATAATACTCCCTCTGGTCCTTAATATAAGAAAAAATTTGCTTTTTAGATACATTGAATAATCAGTTAGGATAATATTTGGAAACTTACTGTGTTAACTTTTTTGTTCAATAGTGTGGAGAACGAGTCCGAATCGCGTATGAGAAAAAATGCAAGCAACTAAGCAACTATGAAGTAAAAGGAGAGGATCCTTCTGCAGATAAAACAAGAGCAACCATTAGAGATCTAGACACTCAGATAACAGTTTCAATACACTCAGTTGAAGCTATTTCCAGGAGAATCGAAACTCTAAGGGACGAAGAGTTGCATCCTCAACTTCTTGAATTGGTACAAGGGTATGTATAAAAGTCTACATCGCACATCATTTTCTGTCAGAATTCGAAGTGTTTTTCATCGTTGTATAAAAGTCTTCATCATATTGTGCTTGCTGATTCTTCAATTTATATACAAATAATGACAGGCTTGAAAAGATGTGGAAAGTGATGGCAGAATGTCATCAAACACAGAAGAGAACCTTAGACGAAGCTAAGATTCTTCTAGCTGGCACACCTTCTAAATCGCATTCCAGAAGACAACAGTCTTCCATCTCAATGACGGATCCAAATAGGCTTGCCCGATCAGCCTCAATTCTCGAAACCGAGTTACGAAACTGGCGAAACACCTTCGAGTCATGGATCACTTCTCAAAGATCCTACATTCAAGCACTAACCGGATGGCTTCTCCGGTGCGTGAGATCCGAATCCGACGACGTATCAAACTTACCACCCTGCTCTCCTCAAAGACTAAGCAACACTCACCCATTATTCGGACTCATTGTTCAGTGGTCAAGGCGTCTGGACGGAGTGCGCGAAAAGGCAGTGCTTGACGGTATGGACTTTTTTGCAGCCGGGATGGGATCCCTCTATGCACATCAATTGAGACAAGATTCGAGGTCGAGTTCATATAGAACTTCAACGAATCAAAATGGTGGGAATATGGAAATGGTTGAAGTTGGTCATGTGGAAGAAGAAGAGGTTATGGCACCTGAAAAGCTTGCTGAAGTTGCTATTAAAGTGCTTTGTGCTGGAATGTCTGTTGCTATAAGCTCATTAGCAGATTTTGCTTATGATTCTGCAGAGGCTTATAGTGAAGTTGTGAAGCAATGGGAGAGTGTGAAAGGCCAAAAGCATAATAATTCTAGTGAGAATAGAACATAGTTGTTGTCTCATATTTTTGTGTGCTTATTTAGTTAACTAGTTTGGTAGGCTTGTTTAGCTATGTGTTTTTGTCAATGTAATTATGCATTTAGCTAATCAATACAAAGGTAGATAGCAAGGGCAATTGCACCCTTTATTGTTCAAATCAAATTTCTTACCTTTTAGCATGTTTAGTTAGATAGACTACTTAGTTTTGGTAAAAGGGCTTATCATATAAGTGTTTATGCATAATCTATTTCTATAATAAAGTATTAAATAAATTCATTATTTATCAATATATAAGCTGTTTACATAATATTATATGGAGTTTACGAAAGAGGAAAAAAGTCGAAAACTATCTTGTGCTCTAAGGGCACATGTTAAAGTGTATTTTATTTTGAAATATGTAATAATTAATTATATAAATTAACACATTAAAATTTATGTTTGTTAAAAATGATTAGGACAAAATTGCCCTTGATATATATATACAGCTTTTTATATTCTTAATTGAATGAAAATATTAAGAATCATTATAATAGTTTCTAAGATAATTTTTTTTTAATTTGTTTAAAATTGATTTGCTTTAAATTATATATTGATGCAAGAGTTATGCTAGAAGTTTTTTAATATAAAATTAAAATGCTTTAAAAGTACAATAATGTATCAAAATAAATTACAATTTCAAATATATCATTTAAATACAACTTTTTTTATAAAGTTATTCGAATAAAAAGAAAAAAAAAATCACTTGAAGGACTTCACTCGACGGACTTCGTACACATATCATCAATTTCTTTCTCGACGGACTTCGTACACATATCATCAATTTCTTTCTGTTATAAAAATAGAAATAAAAAATATAATTTTAATTAACAAATTAAAAATATATAAGATATAAAAAAAACATAAGAAATAAATATAAAAAAATTTAAAAATTTTAAAAAAATCCATAAGTATTCTTTTAGAGGACTTCACTCGACGGACTTCGTACACATATCATCAATTTCTTTCTCGACGGACTTCGTACACATATCATCAATTTCTTTCTGTTATAAAAATAGAAATAAAAAATATAATTTTAATTAACAAATTAAAAATATATAAGATATAAAAAAAACATAAGAAATAAATATAAAAAAATTTAAAAATTTTAAAAAAATCCATAAGTATTCTTTTAAAAAATTTTTGGTATAAGAATTGGATTTAAATTTGCATTTTGACAAATTTTCTTCTTTTTTTAGTGTGAGTCGAAAATTGAATATTTTCTTTTAGAGGACATGTTGCAATATTATGTCCTACACCTTTGCATAATCCATAAGTATTCATGGTATGTGAAAGCTATTTTTCTCCTTTTAAGACGTCTTTGTTTAGGACGACCTTTTGTTTTGAAAATCGAAAGGCATTGAACAATATCATCCGTGTGAGCTTCATTGTTGTAACATGTTATTTGGTCCTCAAACACAACATTGATTAGTTGAGGATTTACTACATCTTCCTCATGTGATACTTGAAGCTACCATCGTGATGGAAAGTAATTAGAAGGGATTTCATGACAATCTTTATGAAGAAAAATACTGAGAATGTGTCGACATAATATCCCCAAAAACTCAAAGTGCTTACAGCTACATGCAACTATTTTACCATCCCAAAAGACCATGTGTTTTCTACTATTAGCATCTTTATAATACCGCAACATAACACATTATTGTTTTCATGATGAATTGAATATTGGATGAACCTTTCAAACTCCTTTTGTAACTTTTGAAAAGCAAAATTTGTGAGAAGACTATGAATTTGCTCTTGCAAAGGTGATATCAACTTCATGTTTAATCTTTTGCATTTTACTAATGATCTGACCTGATCAGAAGGGGATCACGGACTAGCCACTCGCTGTTGGACTGCTATCTGTTCGCCGATGATGAGGAGGAGAAGGGGGGTGTACCTGCAAAACACTCTGATGCCAAAGTAAGAAGTTGGGCAGAGTGAGAGCAAAGTACAGAAAGGGTAAGATGTGAATTACCTGACCCTCTTGAGGAAGAGGGTATTTATAGAGAGACCCCAGCGCTGGGCCAACGGTCACCTGTGTTGGGCTGAATCGCCAGGCCCAACCCAGGTGACTGCTAGGGCTTACGTGGCGTAGTGAAGACCAGGACGTGGTCTTCGCCCTAGTCCAACTGCTCCTTGATCTCCGGAAAGTGGGTTTGACCTGCTCTTTCGGAGGTGGGCAGTTGGTTGCTGACGTGTCCTCACGGAGGGGGGCACGTGGAGAACGTGCGCCGGACACGTTGTCCTCCCCGCGGAGGGAAGCTCGCGAGGTTCCCCGGAGGGCGTTGTTCTCCCCGCGGAGGGGAGCACGCAAGGACGCGGGAGAGCCATGTGGTCTTGCTCGATGGACCGGGGATGCTCTGTTCGGCCAAAACAGGGGGCGTTGAGGACGCTACGGGACGTGCCGTCCCGCTCGGCGGGGAGCGCGCCCTGCCCGTCCTAAGGGGGTGTGTGCCCGGTCAGGTTAGTCCACTTAACGGGCCTTGTGTGTTATTGGGCTGGACCGCGAGGCTGGGCCCAGACCAGAGCAACTAACAATATATCATGCTCTTCTTTTTGCTTGATATCATTGATTGCTAAATCAACCTGAAACTAATTTAAATTAATCAAAACATAATTTTATAAGATTATAACAATGATAATATTTTAGAAATTAAAACATACCTGCTTTGTAAAATCACTTAAACTTGTATGAGAATTTATGAATCTTTTGATAAACGCATTAATACTCTCAGATCTACCTGTGGTTGTCATTCCACCAAAGAAATACTCACGAAGATAAGCGAGTGCCCAATAATTTTTTAATTTCATACAACCCTTTCACGTGTTTATTTGATTGCAAGTTATACTTAGCAACAACTTTTGGCCATTGATGCTCAAATTCTTCACGGTCTCTAACTTATACAATCCATAAAAATCAGAACACCGTTTTGAATATTTGTCTCGGAGTATAGCATTAAACCAACAACTAAACTTGAAAGTGATGTGCCATATACAAAAACTGTGTTTTGTTGATGGCAACTCTTTTAAAATTGCTTCTTTCATCCATGGATCTTGATCTGTTAATATAGTCTTCGATTGCTTCTTCATCAAAAATATGAAAGTCTATAAGAAAATTATGTAATTAAAAAAATGATACAAGAACAAATGATATAAGAAACATTATGAAATTAAACTTAAATGTTACCTTCATCAACCAACGAAATGCAGAAGTTTTTTCATTTCATAAGAGCGCACATCCAAAAAGTATAGTCTTTCCATGACTATTCATACCCACAAAAATTCCAAATGGCATTTCATAAGAATTTACCTTGTATGTTGTATCAAACACAATAACATCGCCATATTTTTGGTACCAATCAAAATAATAAGCATGAGACCAAAATATATGCTCTAACCTTCTTTCTTCATCAAGTATATATGCATACTGAAATTTAGAGCAACTCTTTTTTGCATCCTCACAATACTTAAGAAGATCAACAACATCAGTTATTTCAACTTTTTTCTTGACTTTCAAAAAAATATTGCGAACATCCTTTTCAATAAATGGAAAATAACCTTACTCCACATTTTTTCTAGCTCTATGACACACATTAATTGTCTAACTGAAAGTCCACATTCCTTTAACAAGAAAATTCATTCACAATAATCATCTGAGATAATTCGGTTAGCTGGTAAAAACCGCACTTCTGATTGAGTTAACAAAGTATGATTATGTTCAACAATAAAGGTTGTAACTCACCACTCACTTGGAAACATATCATGAGTTTTTTTGCAAATAAATTCAAAAATGAGCTTTACATTCGCACCTAGTTGATTCTCTATTTGTTTGTTCTTTTGATGGTTCTATGATTTTCAAGGAAGTTCTACCTTCATAATGGCAAAATAAATCATGCCTACTCAGAATTCTATTTTGTTTGATGAATCTACCTTTTTGAACTGAGAATCCGTGTTGATATGCATATCTCTTATAAAAAACAAATGCTTCTTCCTCACTAAGAAAAATTTGACCAACAAAATGAACAATATTTGACTCCTTAAAAGTGTCACCATCACCACTTTCTTGTAAAAATACATTTATCTCATTATTATGATTAGAAATCACAATATTTTCTTTCTCAAAAATTTCAATTTCTTCAACTTCTTATGTAATATTACGACCAACAAAAGAACCATTTTTTGAAGAAACTTCTTCCACTAAATATTCAATATTCAAAATCAAATCCAAATTTATTCTATTGTTGTTCACACTTTCCATGTTGTATTTATCTTCCAAAAATAACAAGAATAAAAAAAGTTATGCATCTGACTATGGAAAGTTATTTTTAAAAAATGGAATCATAAAATAACATAAAATAGATAAAAAGATATATGACATACCTGAATAAGGAAAGTTCTTAAATTGTCATACTTGAGAAGATTTCAGAAGGCTTCAATTTTAACAAAGTGTTTTTGAAGGAAGCGCGAAATTTATTTTGTGAAAAGAAAAAGAATGCTGGAATGTTTAAGCGTGAAATATTTGAGAAGATAAAAAGTCTAAGTGAGATATTAGATGTGAGGATACTTTTGTCATATTGTTTTTTGGTAAACACGCTTATAAAAAATTAATTACTGAATTTAATTATTACATGTTCCAAAATAAAACAAATGGAACAATTAGTCATTAATTACACCTTAACTTGAGCCCTTGAGGCACAAGATAGCATTGTCCTATAAATATATTAGAAATTTGTTTACATTATATTTAATTGGTGTTAATACTTCTATTTAATTTATTATTTGAAATTCTATGTCTATTTGTTCTAAGATTGGAATATCTTTCCGCTCAAAAGTTTCACCCACCTCACATAACAAAGAATAGTTACTCGAATTTTTTTTCCTATGTGGTATGTGATTGTAATATTATAACATTTATATTTATATAACCTTTCTTCTACCATATAAATTTGTTTCGACCTATAACCAAAAATAAG